CACAGTGCCTCCCCCTAGCCACGCCTCCCTTCCTCAATGTCTCTGGCGAGATTACGACAAACATTTTTTTTTACCTTTTTCGCCTTTCCAGACGTTTCTGACCATTGTGGTGCTTCTTCTCAGCGTCAACGGCTCGGCGGCGCCCTACCCGTTGTTGCCGACCACCAACAGAGCAACGCCATGAACTGTCAAATCCTATGGACTAGAAACATCACATGTAGAGAAACATGGTAGCCCATGCCGATTCCAGTGATTTCTTGAGTTTTGCACCACACCATCGTGCCAATAGGAGAAGGAAGATGCGAAGAACTCATTTTGAACAACAGGTGTCCAAACCATGGCCTGTGAAGTACGAATTCACCTACTTTCTCGATTCCATCTTCGCATGTGTACATCGCGCTCGACGAGCCTTATCCATTTACTTTTGCGGATCATCTGTTCTAAGCCCTAGCTAGATGATGTACATTATCTAGTGGCGAGAGTCGTTGGTGGCCACGTGAAAGGGAGAAAAAGAAAGAAGGAAGAAGGAAGAAGGAAGAAAAGGATGAAGAGAACTTTTGGTCAAGTTGGTTTGACGGATTAAGTTTACTAGATCTGCTAGATGAAGAAAAGTTTAATCCCTTAAATAAATTAAATTATTAGCATAAGGCATTTTTTTCTGAAAAGAAGGATGACCCTTAGCCTCTGCATCTGGGCGTTGCATGCAGCCATTTTATTAATTATTCACAAAAACCTTAAAAAGTTATACATCAGTAAGACTGAAGGCACCATTCATGGCAACATCTGTCGCAACTCCTAAACTCTTGATGCAGGGGTGCCGAAAGTCCGAGTCGAATACCAAACATACCTCGCGCCAAAACCTAACATCTAAAGCTGGAGGCCCCAGCCAAGCCATAATGCCAGGTCTGGGGGACATACCGGTCTAGCGCACTCTCAGCAGGCACCGCACGCGTACGCTGCATAGGACGTCACCACCGTCTTTCACTGATCCATCTTCAGAGCAAGTAATGACGCATCGACATTGCCATGCCTGCCGTCGATGCCACCACGACGCCAGACAGTGCCCCTGCCCTGCGTGAGTCCATCATCTCACGTCCGTCGTCGAGACCCTGATGTGCCATGCCACTGAGACACACCGTCGCCGACGCGGTAGATGTACGCTGCTCCACTCTCTGCGTCCTCCATCGAGCAGCTCCTCCAAAACAATGCCCTCACGAGGGAGAGCGACACCGAGAGCGCCGCCATCGTCCAATCCGGGATATTCAGATCTGGGGTTTTCCCCAGAGCATATCGAGTGGGTAGAAGGTGGCTGCAATGGCAATGCCTTCAACAAGGTAACAACCCATAAATGCCGCACCTGCCATGACAGTAATCCGAGCTCGATTTCACTGGCAGCTATGCCTTCCCAACTCGCCGCCGGGACTAGATGTGGGACCAAGAGGTCCGCCACAACCAGTCGGCACACCAACTCCGGCGGAGGAGTAGGCCATCACTGCCATGTTTGGGCCGCTACCTGAGGCTTCCTCATGCTGCAGGACTAACCCAGGAGCACCTCCGCGTACCACCGTCGGAGCCGTTAAGATGCAGAAGGGGCAATCAAGTGTAGGTTGCGCGCGCGCCCAAATCCATTTGGGCCCAGATCGGGCCCGCCTGCAGCACGTCGCGGCCACCCACTGCCGTCTACGCCGCTCGCCGCCGCAAGCACGTCGAGCCATGCTGGCCGCCGCAACCCTGCAGCACTGCTGCCGAAGAGGCCGGGACGGGCACCGCTGCCGCGATCCAGATCGTCGACCGAGGAGATCCGCCACCGCCACGCCGCGCAGGCTTTGCCCGGTGATGACCTTGGCGGCAGCGGGAGGAGAGGCGTCGTGGGGAGGACTGTTGGCGGCCGGCGGTGAGAGACCCCGTGTGGAACGGCGCGGCCGCGAGAGCTTGGGTCGGGAGCCTTTCTAGGGTTGAGAGTTTTAGGTCGTGAATGAAAAGGCATATGCTTTTTCATTATACGATTATAGGTTAGGAGATCTGCTGGAAATCTATATCTATACCTATTAATAAAGCAAGGTGCGTTTCTCCGATTTTTTCATCCGTTCACCGCCAAAAAATTATTTTTTCCCTATATCCGAGGTGGTACTAAACTTTCGTACTCCATCTGTTGGCAAAGGAAAAACGATTTATGCAGAATTTCGTACATGAGCTGCGCGCCTATGGCCGAGCTGGGTTACAGACCTTCACAGATCTGGCGTTCAATTCTGGATGGACGCAATATCCTTTCACAGGGGGTCATTAGAAGAATTGGGGACGGAAAAACCACGGAGATTTGGTCGCAAAATTGGATTCCAAGGGCTAGTGTCAAGAGGCCCATCGCTTCTTTACAGCAGAACCCGCCGACGAAGGTGGCACAGCTGATTGATGCTACTTCTGCTTCGTGGAAGGAGGACTTGGTTAGGTCGACGTTCACTCATTTTGATGCTGAGGAGATTTTGCGAATCCCACTGTGTACACGTAATGTGGACGACTTCTGGGCCTGGCGTGAGGAGAGCAGGGGGGTTTTCAGTGTGCGATCGGCATACAGAATGATTATAAGAACAAAATTGCACCGGGAAGCATGGCTAAATGAAGAGGAGGGAGCGTCCAATGACCAGCAAGAGCGGAATAAATGGAGCAGCATTTGGCATATACAGGCACCTTCTAAACTGCGCATGTTTGTGTGGCGTTTAGCCCGTCAGTCCATGCCAACCGGAACACTTTTGAAGCATCGTAACATGACGACA